CAGCCATGGGGACTTCTCCCATGGCTCCTCTGGCTGTGCTTGCCTCTGCCCTGGTGGGAGGATCTGCGGGGGCTATGCCCTGCTGCTGCTTGTCCAGTCCATGTGAAGAGGTGCGCAATGCAGGCGCGGCTCACCCCACAGCAGGGCAGAGCCCCCACTCCCAGCGCTGCCACACCTGCATCAGTGCTGGGAGCAGGGGCTTTGCCCTGCTGCCACTTACCCCCTTCCACCTGGAGCAAGCCACACCCACATCCTGCCCCCACCCTCATATGACCTGGTCTCAAGGCCTCTAACCATGCACGTGGCCCTCCTTTGGACACTCTTGAGCTTCTCCACATCCTTCCTGAAGTGTGGCGCCCAGAACTCGATATACATCTCCAGCTGCAGTATCACCAAGGCTGAGTAGAGTGGGAGGATGACATCCTTAGCTGTGCTTGATATGCCTCGGTAGATGCATGCCAGTGTTTGATTAGCTCTGCCAGCTACGGCATTGCATCGGTGACTCATGTTCATTTTGTTGTCTATCACAGCACCGAAGTCTCGTTCAGATATGGTGCTAACAAGCGTAGCACTGCTGAGACTGTAAGTGTGTTGTGGATTATTTCTCCCTGGATGGAGCACTTTACATTTCTCTGTATTAAACAACATCAGGTTGAGGTCTGCCCACCTCATGAGTCTGTCCAGGTCAGCCTGTATTGCCAGCCTGTCTTTGAGTGTGACTATGCTCCTCCATAGTTTGGTATCATCAGCTTTTAATGTCTGAATCCAAATAGTTGATGAACATGTTGAAAAGCACTGGTCCAAGTACTGAACCCTGAGGGATGCCACTGGTCACCCTCTGCCATGATGGCCCAGTTCCATTAATCAATATTCTGTGTCCTACCATGGAGCCAGTTACCTAGCCGTCAGACTGTAAAGTAGTTAAGGTTGCATTTTCCCAATTTTTTCATGAGGACTCGTGGGAGAACAGGTCAAAGGCTTTTCTGGAGTCCAGTATATGACATCAACCTAATTTCTCCCATCCAGGTGGTGAGTAACCTGATCATAGAAGGAAATGAAGTTGGTTTGGCATGACCTGCCCGTAACGAAGCCATGTTGGCTATCCTTCAGAATGCTGCCTTCTGCTAGCCTGTCTGTAATGGATTCTTTTATAATTTTCTCCAGGATTTTACCAGGGATTGAGGTCAAACTGATTTTACCTTGGTCTTCACAGGCAAGGTCAGCTCCTAGACTACTGCACTGGGCAGCACAGTTTGGGGAGAAAGTGAGCAGCCCTTGGTGGTGAAAGAGCAGATGCAAGGCATCTGATGGTGCTGAGGAAGTTGGCTGATGTGACTGTAGAGCTGCTGGCCATTATCTCTAAAAACTTGTGGCAATTGGGGGAGGTCCTGGATGACTGGAAAAGGGCAAATATAGTGTCCATCTTTAAGAAAAGGAAGAAGGGGGATCCAGGGAACTGCAGATCAGTCAGCCTCACCTCAATCCCTGGACAAATCATGGGACAGGTCCTCAAGGAATCCATTTCTAAGCACTTGAAGAAGAAAGTGATCAGGAACAGTTGGCATGGATTTACCAAGGGCAAGTCATGCCTGACCAACCTGATTGCCTTCTATGATGAGATGATTTGCTTTCACTGATTCCCTACATAGTGGATGCGGGGTAAGCAGTGGACGTGACATACCTTGTCTTTAGCAAGTCTTTTGATGTGCTCTCTCACAGCATTCTTGCAAGCAAGTTAAGGAAGTGCAGGTTGGGTGAATGGACTGTAAGGTGGATAGAAAGCTAGCTCGATCATAGGGCTCAATGGGTAGTGATCACTGGCTTGATGCATAGTTGGCAGCCAGTATCAAGTGGAGTGCCCCTGGGGTTGGTCCTGGGGCCAGTTTTGTTCAATATCTTCATTAATGATCTGGAAGATGGGATGGAGTGCACCCTCAGCCAGGTTCTGGATGACACCAAGCTGCGGGGAGTAGATATGCTGGGCTAGATCCAGAGTAACACTAGACAAATTGAAGGATTGGGCCAAAAGAAATCTCATGAGGTTTAATAAGGACAGAAGAATCACATGTGCTGCTGTAGACTTGAGACCAACTGGCTAAGCAGCAGTTCTGCAGAAAAGGATGGGGGGGTTACTGTGGACAATAAGCTGAACATGAGTCCACAGTGTGCCCTAGTTACCAAGAAGGCTAACAGCATACAGGGCTGCATTAGTAGGAGTGTTGCCAGTAGATCAAAGGAAGTGATTCTTCCCCTCTATACAGCACTGGTGAGGCCACATCTAGATACTGTGTTCAATTTTGGGTCCCCCCACCACAGAAAGGATGTAGACAAGTTGGAGACAGTCCAGCAAAGGGCAACAAAAATGGTTTGAGGGCTCGGGCACATGACTTATGAGGAGAGGCTGAGGGAACTTGTCTTATTTAGTTTCCAGAAAAGAAGACTGAGGGGGGATTTGATAGCAGCTTTGAACTACCTGAAGGGTGATTCCAAAGAGGATGGAGCTTGACTGTTCTTAGTGGTGGCAGAGGCCAGAACAAGGATCAATGGTCTCAGGTTGCAGCAGGGGAAGATACTAGGTTAGATATTAGGAAAAACTTTCTCACTAGGAGGGTGGGGAAGCACTGGAACGGGTTACCTAAAAAGGTGATGTAATCTCCGTCCTTGGAGGTTTTTAACGCTCAGCTTGACAAAGTCCTGGCTAGGATGATCTATTTGCGAGTCATCCTGCTTTGAGCAGGGATTGGACTAGATGACCTCCTGTGGTCCCTTCCAACCCTTTAAATGACTGGAATGAGACCCTCAAATTCCAAAATCCTCAGGAGAGTCTAATTCTGTAGGGAGGATTTTTCTACCAGCTTTAGAAGAGAAGTAGTTTGTTGTAAGGAACTACGTAAAAGAAAATGCACAGTGTGAGCGTGTGAGCATGTTCCTTCTGAAGTCAGTAGCAAAACTCACCGAAAGCGGGAAGAAGGAAATACCAGACTATCCTTGTACTCACCACATGATTATCTGGACTATTCTCATTGTAGCTTCATTGAGTGCATTGAAAAAGTCCACCAGAATTTGTCCCTTTTCTCCCATTTTCCCAATAACAATTCCAAAGACGAGACAAAAGACAATCAAGCCCAGGACATTGATGCCATCGGAATACATGCCCACTATTTTGAATTCTTTGGTTTTGTTCTGTAGATTCTGTAGATTCAGAAAAAAATGTTACTAAACAGGGACAGGGTAATTAGTTTGCCAGTCCTAAAATGAAAACATATTTAGCTCTTTCACTAACAAGAGTCACCTTCTCAGTCATTCAGTTCTCATATTTGCAGGTGGAACTGGAAGGTTTAATGTCACTTTAAAATGCCTTCCTGAGCCTTGTTTTTTAAAGCTCTTGAGCTCCTAAGCCTTGCTGTAGGTGACAGTAGTCTCAAGGTTGTTCTAATTCATGATCTGCTTCTTAGGCCACTTTTACCTGTGCAGGAGGCGCGACTGTGGGATCATGCATTAGATCTCATCCCAATCCTGGGCTCCCCATGCACCAACAAGAAGCAAGCTCCTGTGCCTGGGAATGCCAGGCATGCCAGTTGAGGGGCTCACAGCTGCAGTGCATGAAACCCCTGGGACAGGAGGACTGTCACTGGCGATTTCCCCACTCTGGGGGTTTCACCCCCCCTGGGACTGGGAGATCGCTGCAACAGCAATCCTCCTGTCCCAGGGGTTTGCCAGGTGGCACCCTGTGGGGACCCACCATTTGCAGCTGTGGGACTCTGGGGCTGAGAGTCTCCAGCAGTTGTGGGGAAGAGCCTACTACATATGCAAATTAAAGCTTGATAACAACAAGCTATACAGTTAGTACACATTTTTGAGGTCTAACTTTACAGCTGGTGGAGCTTTCTATTGTGTGATAAGCACTTTATGTGCATATCTGGTCGAAAGATAACTGTGCAATTAACCAGTTAATTGCACGATACCTGTTACATGTATAAGGGGCTTTAGTGCCTTGTGAATCGCAGAATATAGCGTATTGACTCTAGCTACACCTTCAACATGCCTGTGATGCACAATGGGGAATGAGAGCAAGGACAAAATCCTTAAACCAGCTCAATGCCAGCCATGAAGGTCCTTTGCTTAGATTCTTGTTTCTAGATTGCCATAAAGAGACCTAATATAGCAGGTAATCAGGTTCAGGACATTCAATTTAGCTCTCAGTTACATATACATAATTCAACTGAAGTCAGTAGAGCTACATACTTGATGGCAGAACCTGATGCACAGTTTTTCCGTGAAAGACTTAAACTGCTTTGGTTCAACTTTCTCTAGATGTTAGGTGCAGTATAAATGTATGAGGGAAAAATTAAATATAATATTTATGGGGCAGTGGAGATTCTCTACTACCTTCAGTTTCAAGTTTGAGTTACTCTCCTTTCATTTAGGTTAATGTCCCCTTGCTCTTATATTATGAGGCAATATTAAAAACAAGTGTAAAATCAATATTCATTATACTGCATTGCTCATAATTTGTGTCCATCTATTAAATCCCTTCTTACTCTTCTCCCCTCTAAGCTAATCTCAGTCTTTGCAAGCTGTCATCCAATGCAAGTCTTTCCATAATTCTAATCAGTTTGGTTAAACGTCTATTTTACTTTTTCAGTCTTTATTTTATTTATCTTGAGGAGCAGCAGTCAACATTTAATACATGCTATCAGCTAATATGCTGTCAAATTTTCATATCCTTTTCTACGCCTTTATTTTCATAATACCTACTAGTATCTTGTTTTTTTTAACCTCTTCTGCACATGGGATATGCATATTCAGACAACCTTCCTATAACAACTCTATTTCCTTAAGCCATTCAGCACGTTTACAGTTCACCAGCACGTATGGGAACTTGGGTTATTTGCATGTTATCTTTTATTTGTCCTGTTATTTTCCTACTAAATCCTCCAGGTTTCTTATATTTAGCTAGTGTTTCTAGCAGTCCTTCATTTTTTCTAACTTAAATAGTTTTGTAACTTGGATAAAAATTTATCAGTTTGCTTCCTCTATTAGCCATTTATTATCAGTTTAATCATTTACTAATATTTTGAACACAGATTTTTGTTTACAGTCTCTCTCCAGTTCTAATATCTGTATTTTTAAAAATAAAATAAATAATAAAAACCACACCTTGGAAGCCTCTGTTGTCATGACAACTGTAAAAGGTTCTTCTGTAACCATGGAGCCATTTTTTTCCAATTCGTTTGTAAGTTTTACTTCTTCACGTTTGGTTTTATACTAAAATATTAGGGAGAAGGGGTAGGAAATGATACATATTATTTGGAAATAATAAGCAAGTGAGAAATGAAAAATGGCAGAAACAGGAAAAGATGCACAGTTCAGACATTTGTAAGATTTTTAGCCAGAAATAACGTACATATGTAGAGTTTTCAAATGAATTTGAGTCGCTGGTTTTTCTTTATGTCAACCACTCTAAATGAACATACTCATGTCTGTGTAGGAAGGTGAAAAGTCTGCTGTGAAGGTTTCTGGTTACTGCATGGAATGTCTGTAGTTCCATGGGGGATGGAGCCGAATGGGTGCAACTAGCAGAGGGGACTTCCAAATTCAGCAGGATCCAAAGCAGGATTTCTGACAGTCATTGTGTGAGAGGTTGGTAGAAGTAATGGGGCCAATGTCATTATGAGGTTTCACTGGCTGTTCCTCCTTTTATTGCTGGAGAGGACTCATGCATGTGGGTGAAGCAGCATCTTTTAGGCTGCAATATAAACTCCAGAGCTACTGCTGCCACATAGGTAATGATAAGATCAGGGTCTGAATTATGGGGAGCTAAGGGGGCTGAGCCCCCACATAAGAGACTAAGGTCTCTTATCATAATGAGGGGGGTGTCACTTAGGTAGACTTGTTAATCAATGAACTGGTTAACCACCAAGGCCTCGCCAAGAGTCGAAGTGTAATTAAGATGGCCATAGCCTGTGTAACTGCAGAGAAGCCATATACTGGACTGTGTACCTAGTGCAAAGTACAGGTTTATAGATGTTGGTAAACTACACATACTGCATATGCACTGAATTTTGGGCAAAAACAGTTAACATCTTTTTTTGGGAATGGGTTAGCTCTATTGTATAGGAACTTCAGTGCCATACAATAACTCTGGGAAGGAAATAAAAAGGAAGCAAACAACATCATAAGGTATAACAAATATATCTCTGCATTTTTCACAACTTTAAATGTGAAAGAATCAAGAGTAAGACGGGTGGGTGGTAGGTTCTTCTTCTAGTCTCTGAAGACACAATAAACCTTAACCCCTACATTTCTTGTTTTTTCTCAAGAGCTTTTTCTACTAAAATCTCTTGTTTACCGTAAGAAGAATACAACCAGATGCCAATCAGTTTCAACAATGTGCAGCAGAATTGAAAGACTTAATGATGAGGGAAGGTAGGTACAGATTTCGTTAGACAAAAGGAAGATTTAAAGATTTTCTCAGAAAAATCTCAAGAACAGGGAAATACCTTTTCTCCAAACATTCTACAAGCTTTCTAGTGAAGCTCTGGTCTCTTTGCTGTGCAAGAGCCACCTGGATTTTTCATAACTAATTCTTACCACATTTTGTCTTATGGGAAACTTCACACAGTTTGAAGAATGGAGTAGGTGGCAATAAAAGCTACCACAACAAAAATGAATGTTTGTTCCTACCTGTTGAAAACAAGCCTGGACAAGGTTTTCTGGGAACATATTCCTGTTAAAGTAATTAAAGACATTGCAATATTATGAGCTACTGAGGACAATCTATTTTACAAATTAAAATAAGGTAACCAATTACTCTATACACAGAATGGGGTGATGATGTGTTCTTGTCTACAAATCATCTATCCACACACAAGAGTAGCAAATTTATCACTGTCAGGTTTGAACCTGAGGCAAAGAAAAAAGTTCAAGCCTTCTAAATGTGAAGATGACTATTTTTCTACTGTGGAGTTCTCATAGGCATTTTTCAGGACTTGTCATTTAAATTATTCAGCCAGCAAGTCCAGAATATTTCCACTATGGTATGCTGTGTCCATTAAGTGTATGAGGAACATTTTAAACTCATTTTTATATGGTTCATTATGCATCACGTAAAAGTGTACCAGAAGAGGAATAATGTTTTTTATTCACATTGTGCTGTGTGTGGGTTTGTGTGTGCATTCAAAAATTAATCTTGGCTGATGGAAAATTCCTGCATATTGCTGCACAAGAGCCTTTTTCATAGAGTGAAAAGATAAAAAAAAAAAATCACCTTGCTGGCTCTAGTGGTTGGTATAGATTAGTTGCCCCTCTCTGTGAGTGACCAGCACTATATGCTTCAAATGAGACTGAGAAATCTTGTAGTCTGTGATTATGGAATAATCAGCACAACAGGAAGGTGTATACTACTCCTGTTGTTCAGAAGTTGGTTTTGCCCTGAAGTCTGAAAGTTTATAACACTTTCAAATCTTTATTAAAATCCTTTCTTTAGTTTTCAAGTTCTTAGTCTTTACTTGGGCAAAATTCGTTTGAAGTAAAGTGGAGTCTGCACAAGTTCAGTTTTTACTCCATTCATACAAAGACATCAGAATTTGAGTCTCAACACTGGATGAGGTGAACCTGTACAAGAGTAAATACAATTTCTTGCAAAGGAATTTAAGGCTACCATTGTAACTTCTAGGTCACAACTGTAAGCTGGTTGGCAAGAAAGGCACCCAGAAGACTGTGATTAACAGGGAAAAATTCTCTAAAATAAATATAATTTAATTACTGCTTTTCTATCTCCAAATCATCCTCTTGTGCTTGAGCTACAAATCAGCACTGTACATGCTGTGTGTCTGGAGAAATGGTCAACAACAGGCTGAATTAAGTACTCTGCTGCTGCTGACTGCATGGAGCCCAGCCAATGACTTCTGCTGCAAGTATACTGCTACAGCACGCCATCTGCTGCTCGTGGCTGGTTTGCCTAGTAAGAAGGCAACAGAGACTGAGAATGCCAACCTATGGGGTGGGAAACACTTATCTATAATGCTGTAACAGTAGGTTCTGGGACCAGGGACTTCCAGCATGCCTTGCCCATTGAATCTGCAGGTGTGCTCTAAATTGAGAAGTTTGCAGGTGAAGCAACTCCTAAGCTTATCTCTCTGTACCCAGGCTCAAGTCCTTGATCTGTGGTGGGACTCAGATGGCCATGGTATGCACAGGCCTCATGCTGCTGGGACCTGCTGCAGCAGAGATATAGACAAGCTCAGATAATCAGTATAGACGGATCAGTGTCAGGATGTGGCAAAAGGTCTTATTTTGAGCTGTGGGACTTGAAAACAGATACATTGTGAATACAATACCTATAGGTGTTTGCTTAAAAAATACAATTTTTGGGGGGGGTGAATTCTTCTCACCAACCATAAGAACACCGCATAAATCGAATTTGCATAAAGCGAACCTACTTTATAATGTAAGAAATAGGGATAGGTTCCCCTGTTGGCTGCTCCTGGGGTCAGCTGAATTGAGTGCAGATGAGCAGAGCCCCAGGCAGTGCGGGGCACGGCCCTCACCTCAGGCCCAGCTGCAGTGGCCCCGGGAGCTGCTGGCACCAGCTGACGGCAGCCACTGGGCTGCACTGTGCCCCAAACCCCCAGGGCTCTGCCTGTCCCCACTTATCCCAGCTCCTGCTGAAGCTGTCCTGGAAGCGGCCAATGCCAGCTCCCTGTAGCCACTGGGCTGCACTGTGCCCTGGTGCAGGCAGCTCCCAGGGCCGCTGCAGGTGGGGCAGGTGCATGGACAGGCAGAGCGCCAGAAACAGCCTGTTGCTCCTGAGCCTGCAACGGCTGCCAGCCCCAGCCTGCTCTAGTCTGGCTGCAGGTGGTTGCCCGTCCCTGCTGCAGCCCCGGGAGAGGTAGGTGTCACCTGCTTGCAGCTGCTGGGCTGCGCCATGCCCCAACCCCCCCAGGGCTCTGTTTCCCCTGGGGCACTGTTCCCTGAACCCCCCAGTGTGGCGGAGCCCAGCAGCTGAAAGCAGGCAGCATCCGCCACTCCCAGGGCTGCAGCAGGTGTGGGCAGTCCCCTGCAGCTGGACGAGAGCAGGCTGGGGCCGGCAGCTGCTGCAGGCTCAGGGGCTCCAGGCTCTTCCCAGTGCTCTGCCTGTCTCCACCCCAGCCCCAGGTGCAGCAGTCCCAGGAGCTGCCACTGCCAGCTGCCTGCACTAGGGCACAGTGCAGCCCAGCAGCTACAGGGAGCTGGCACTGGCACTGGCCCCTCCTGACAGCTGCAGCAGGAGCTGGTGTAAGTGGGGACAGGCAGAGCCCCGGAGGGTTTGGGGCATGGTGCAGCCCAGTGGCTGCCATCAGTTGGTGCCGGCAGCTCCTGGGGCCGCTGCAGCCAGGGCTGGGGTGAGTGCTGCACCGCCCGGGGCTCCACTTGTCCACACCCAACCCAGCTGGCCCCAGGAGTAGCCAACAACAGAACCTATCCCTATTTCTTACAGTACTGTATAAATTAGATTCTTTTTATGCAAATTTGATTTATGCGGCTTTCTCCAGATCAATGCTGATCACATATATGCGAATTTACCTCACATGTAACGAATTTTGGGTACAAAAGGGTCATTGCATAAGAGTGAATTTGCATAAATCGACCCCACATAAATCGAGGGAAACCTGTACAGAAATTATAAAAAAACAAAAACAAAACCCAAACACCTACAGATCAAAGTGATGGCAGACAGAGACAAACTATAATTGGAAGGAAAAATCCATAGACACCTTTTTTTGTAACTACTAAGCCATTACTGGAAATGAAATCCATTTGTCAGAAGTTTGCACTTCTCCTAACAAGTTAAATTTTATTTAGCTGATGCCAGCTGTGATTTACTGGGGACCCAGTTGCTCAGATTTTGTACATATTTCATCAGGCCAATTTTTTTCTAACCACTTCATTTATCTATCCTATTACAAGACCATCATCAGGAAGAGAAGGTAACAAGCCTGCCTGGAAAACTGACAGCGCAGTGAATCTGTAGAGTAGGCAAGCCAAGGAAATTTACATGGAGTGCATTTGTTGCCTGCCTTTCTTTACTGAGAAGAGATTCCCAAGCAGAGAGTATCAAGAGACTCTTCTCTTGAGAAAAGAGGCACTTAGCCACTGCGAAGAAGCATCATAACATCACTGCACCGTTCTGCAATTTTTTATACCCTAAAAAACAACAGTGCTGAGTTACCTTCCTGAAACCAGCCCACTAATATCTTTTCTCTGGATATTTTTCTTATGCTAAGGCAGTAAATGTAAAGTTCTGTTTCTGTTAGGGGCAGCAGAAATAAACTGGGACAGGAAAAGTTGACCTTAGATCTGTAGGTAAGTTACTATGTGAAATGCATCAGCAACCCAGGCTGGCATCTAGCGTATAGAGAAGGGCACTTTACACGCTATTTTGTATGGATCCATCTAAAGCTATGTGCTGTTTTGCCTACCCTATGAAAAGTTCAGTTTACTCCACTGCCTTACTCTTCCAAATGATCTTCATTTGTGCATACAGTTCAGTAACTGTGGTTGCAACAGAATGGAAATGGAAAAGCTCACCTAATCAGATCTAGCATGGCATCCACTGTTGTGACCTCAGGAGTGCTACCCATCCTGTCAATATCATCCGCTTTCTGAGACACCCCAGGTTTGATGGTCACAACTAGCACAATTCCTGTAATCAAGAGAGAACCAAAGTATAATCAGAGACAACCTTTCCATATCCATTTTACCTGAATTCTTATCACCAAATGCAGTCCGTAGTTATACTGTAATATCAACAGGTGTTAAGTGACCCATAACTGGAATCCATAATTAGTAAGGTTCTTTAAATATGATAGGGACCGTGATGGCTCTCTAATGCTCTTGATAGGGTCAGATATTTGACATTATTCTTTTTGGGTATATTACATATTTTCAATCATTCTCTGTAAATCTCAAAGAACAATTACTTCAGTGGGATTGCAAATGGTTGCCTTCCTCTGCTGTGATGTTTTGAAGAGCTGCTCTATTTTTTCCTACACATCTAGTTCTACATTACTAGTGTTCACATGGGAGTTGGTTGCTTTGTTTTGTGACTCCACAAAGCAGAATCTGTTTTTGCAAAGATAGCCTACAGCACTCAGTTCACACAAGACTACACTTCAGAAACAGAGTGAACTAAAAATAGCTTTGCTCTAGGACCACTTTTGCTCACACTGAAGTCAATGGCACAATTTATATTAATTTTGAAGGAATCAGTATCAAGCTTTCCTGCAATTATAGAATACAATCTAAGCTGCTGCAATTGCATTAAGTTTTTATTCAAAACCAACAAACATAAATTCATTGTAGAGAGGATGAAACATCAGCATAATGCCTCAAACCCCTCCCCGCCCCAGCAATGTTTTCTAGTTATATTTATTGATACAGGCAGAGCTGACCTGGTATAAACTCCCTCAACTGTAGAAATTATCAAGAAGAAGCTGACAACTGACAATTTATTTTTTACTTAATCTTTCTGTGCATTTAGTCACTGAAAGTTCTCATGTTTATATGTAAACTGTACACTATCCTAAGCCAGGACTATCAAACTTCAGTGTGGCTGGGGATGCAGACTCTGTGGGCCACACAGGTTGGGGGCAGTCCCTTGGGATCTACCCTCACCATGAGGGAAGTACCAGAGGTGCACAGCCCCCTCTCTCAGGTGTTCTCCCCTGCCAAAGGGCAGTGGAAAAGGCAGCCTCTTCCATAGGCCTCATGTTAAACACTCACAGGCTATATGTTGGACAGCCCTGTCCTCAGCTATGAAAATGATTTCACTGATACCACAGTGCTTGGTATCAGTGAAATTATAGCACTGGTAAATGTAGCCTATGTGTATATACTCCTTCAGGTTTTCAGCTCTTAAATAACTAACTTCTGCAGAAAAAATTCTCCTTTAAATCTAGATTCAATATTCTCAGCAGTGGGCACAGAATTTGGTCTTGTGATAGGTAGGGTGACCACTCAGAAAAGCTGTTAACAGAGGAAGTTAATCCAATGCTTTGGGTTAGCAGAGGGGCTACAGGTGATTACTCTGTGTACACAGGCAGACAAGGTTCTTCGGGTAAATGTGGTATCTTTTATTAGACCAACTAAATAGTTGGAAATATTGTTCTTTGCAAACTTCCAGGCACAAACACCTTTCTTCAAGCACAGGGACTCAGAGTCTCCTGGTGTTTTGTGTGCTCTCCTGGGTGGACTAGAAGCCACCACAAAACATCAGCAGATTCTCCCTATGCCTGAAGAAGGGTGTTTGTGCCCAAAAGCTTGCAAAGAACATTTTTTCCAACTATTTAGTTGGTCTAATAAAAGATACGTTTACTCAAAGAACTATGTCTGCTTATGTCCTTAGATCAGCATGGCTATAACCAACACCCCCATATTCTGTGTACAGACATTTTTATTGTGGCTGAGTTGGCCGTGTGGAATTAATTTCCTGCAGTAGAGAAAAAGAGGGATAGGCTACAAGAAGTTGAGAGTGAAACCGGAAAGTGAAAAAAAAACGAAGGAGAGGAATTTCTTCTCTCAAGCGGTGTGTCACAGTCTATATTCTTACATTTGGGAATGTTGGCTGAAATGAGCCTTACTTTAAAATTATGCTTTTGGGACTGGAGCTGAGGAATTTCTATTTGTTTTACTTCTGGCCTTTAAAAAGACAGGATGGTATACAATCAATTATACCCCACTAATAAATAATTATAATACAACTGTTCCTAGGCAAATAGTTCTTAATTTTGCCCAGCTGGAATCCTGTGGCAAATATCTTGCTGACTTCACAAATGCAGAATCAGGCTCTAAGACTCTTTCTTAGATTCCCCACAACACTAATTGGTTTGTCAGGAACCCCTGGAAAGGATCTTAGGGTGAACATTATACTTATACCATGCTAAGGACACTTAAAATGTGAGCACCTGCACATAAAAGCTCATTAACTTGTGTTAGATGCTTTCTGAGCATCTCAGTTATACCACTTCTGGTGAAGGCTAACTTGAAGCTACCTAGCTCATGTTAGGGTAATTTCAGTCCGCTCCATAGAGGTAAAACAAGCAATTTGCGGTCCTTCAGACTCCCAGGGGGCACTGCTCCCAGGCCCCCCCCACTATCCAGAACATGGATTGAGCCCAGTATCCTGGCTCCTAGCCACACACCTGCTCAAGCAGCAAGTCAGAGCTGTGTATACAGGAAATGATATTAACCCTTAATGTGAAATGGCTCACTTGGTTTCAGGTTGGACATAAGGAAGAACTTCTTTACTGTCGGAGACCCCAACGTCTGGAATAGACTGCCGCCGGAGGTGGTTCAAGCACCTACTTTGAACGCCTTCGAGATAAATTTGGATGTTTATCTTGCTGGGATCCTATGACCCCAGCTGACTTCCTGCCCCTGGGGTAGGGGGCTGAACTTGATCTTCCAAGGTCCCTTCTAGCCCTAATGACTGTGAATCTATGAATCACTTACTCAACTTTAGAATCTCAGGACATTGAACATTAATTGAAGTGCTTATCTGAATGTCAAGTATTTGTATTAACACTGAAAACTTGATATGGTGTTGATATTGTGAACTCATAATTAAACAGTATTAAAGATTGTGAAGACTTCAGTATTGTGTATTACCTAGAATTACAGCTATGACGGTAGTGCAGAAATAATACACAACTGCGCGCAGACCTATCTTCCCAGAAACGCTGGAGTCTAAAGCAGCAACACCTAGAGAAAAAAAATGAACAGATTTTAGAGAATACACGTATCATGAATATAGAGTGATTTATTTATACGTGGAAAATATTTAATTATTCTTAATTTTTCCTGCACATTCTAGTGCCCAATGGTAGTAATATCCAGGAAAACTTTCTGCAATAGGCTGAGGTGTTTGCTTGAGATCCTTTATCATCCAGGTAGCAAGTGCTTTGCTGCCTCGGCCAGGTAAGGCATTATCTCATCTGGATTGACTGGAGTTTCTTTTTTCTTTTGGCACTCTATTCTATTAGCAAGTGTTTATTTCTCTAGGAAAAAGCTTAGGGTGCTTTGTTGATTCACTTGGTCAGGCGATGCATTATTCCCCTTAATATATATTTTTAAAAGCCATCATTTGGCTTCAAAATTTAAACCCCAGTGCGAAGAATGAAGGTAATTCACAACACACAGTGGCGTTGTCCTACTCTGCTTGGTTGTACACTCAGACAACAAATGCATTGATTCATCCATGGATAACTTTTTGGTTGCAAAGAAGTTCATTTTCTTTTTCCCTTAAAAAAAATTAGAACTTAAGAGTGCACATTTTTCCCCCGGTGGGTGGACAACCCCCTCTCCTGTGTTTAGATCTGCAAGCAAAAGCTGCTTTTTCTGTTGTATGCATCCCAAGAGCATTCTCAAACTACAATTATATCTGAAGGCAGCTAAACTTTTAACACTGATAGTACATCAACCAGATTTTTGGGAGAGATTTTCTTACGTAAAATATCTGCACTGAAGATTTAATGGTTTCCAAGATTTACAGGTCTGGCCACATGTAGCAAATTTAATACCCAGGGGCAATGGTTAAAAAAAAAAAAAAAAGCACTAAAATAATTTGAAAACTTGACCTATATGTTTTTATATATTTGTGATCCTCTTATATATTAAATCAGACTCTCAGAAGCTTGTCATTTTCTTTTAGATATGAAAATAAAGAGTTATGAGAATGTTTAACTTCTGAAGAGTAAGTAGATTTAAGCCCAAATATTTTTAAAGACAAATTTATCTGACGCATCTCAAATATGCATTTCTGACTTACAGGGATCTTGACAAATGCCCTGTACAAAATTATAAGTCTTTCTAAAAGATAAGCTAATAATAATAACTAGTACAGGGTTATTGCCAGCTGTAGTCCAAATTGTGCATATACAACCATTAAAAAAGGAAATTCTTTAATTACTGTTTTCCCATCTATTTGATTACTTGTAGGACCTCACAGAGAATACAGAAGAACAAGGTTACTTACATACAGGAAACTATAGAGATGATTAAATAAAACATTTGTATCTCAAGGAAAAAATATCTATATTATCAATTTCCATGTACAGAAAAAACAAAACAAATCAGTATCACTATTAGCCCTGTGTATCCCTGTGATAGCAATGTCATCTGAGAAGCAAATGACAAAATGGGTATTGAGATAAGACTATCATTAGATTTGCATCTTATGTCACTATAGGATATGTACTTGAAATATAGATGATAAATAATGAATATTAAATTGTTTTGCGAGTAATTATCTGGACATCAAATTCCCGCTTCCTACAAGTAGTAAATTCACTTACAAGATTCTAAATTGTGATTTAAAAAGAAAAATGGGTAGATTCCACTAAAGCTTACACCAGTGACTCTCTACCAGGGTGCTGGGGCATGCTGAGGTGCTGCCAGATGCCTTGTAGGGTGCCACGAGGTGCAAGGAGATAAGCAGATATGGTAAGCGAATAAGCCAAGCTTAGGCTTGTCCCTGCCTGGATGGTCCCCTACCCCTACTGCCCATCCCATGTAAAGAGGTAAGCTCTGGAACAAAATTAGTTTTTTAAACTGAGTGCCACTCAATTCACAAAAGTTATGGAGGGGTGCCTCGAGTCCAGTGAGGAATGCCTTGAGACCAAGAACTTTGAGCCTATGCAGTCATTAGAGGAAATATTTGTAAAGTTTAGAAAACAAGGTAGTTAGTATTAAACCTTGTTGCACATGCTATTAATAACCAAAGTGTAACAACCAGGTTCTGTGCCCTGATCAGTGTCAGTGGGCAGGCTGGCAGTGATGGCCTGGGGCTAGTGCCCTGGTCACTCATCCCTAATTACACTACTGATTAGTTATGTTCACCTACGGAGCATTATTAATCTTACCAGCAGTCCTAAAGGGGGCAGAAGAGATTCTTAATAACACAGCTTTGCTTCTGAGTTTGCTTTCTGTCTGCTCAGCACATGGCAAGCTGTATCCAGGCAAAATATGTAAAACAGGAGAGCAGGGGATTCTTTGGGCAGATTGGTGGGGAGAAAGACTAAAATGTGGTCCTCCCTGATTGGACAAGGCTTGGGTGATGTCACACCAGGTACATAAGAACTACTCACTGAGGTTCTGGGTCCCTTTCTCCTGGGGCTGCTGAGAGCTGCACTGGGAGTCAGAATCTGCTCCCCATAGAGGGGTTTGGGGATCTCCCCTCCTCTTTGCTGGAGAGATATGAAACATTATTTGAAGGGAAAGCGAGAGGGCGAGAAAGATAGAGGGCAAGAAAGTCTGTTGTGGAGTTTAAGACTCCTATTTCCTCCTTTTTTTTTTTTTTTTTTTTAAGGGGGTTAACACCATGGGGGTGTTTAATCTCTGAAGCAAACTGCCCAGGAATGGGTGGGGTCCTGGCAGTTACTGGCTACAGGGGCCTGGCCCCCTCTGTTTTGTAATTGTATTGTCTCAATGTAGGTTATAGCTGAGACCAGGTGTCCTGGCCACAGGCAGAGGCCTGGGCCTATGCTTGCTGTTTCTGTTTCAGCCTAGCTGCATGGCTGAACCCCAGCTATCTGTTCAGGCCTTAAGGTAGGGTGGCCATTATAGAGCACAGTCCAGGTATCCTCTGTCCTCTATTGATACGAAACCTGACGCCTTTATGTCCTCTATTTTTCAACTGAAGAAGAGAAAAATAGAGGACATAAAGGTGTCAGGTTTCGTATCAATAAAGGACAGAGTAGCAGAAAACTGGAATGTCCTCTATGATGGCCACCCAGTGGGGTAGGCCTGACCTCTCCTTTGAAGTTTTCTTGCAGTTTCTGCCCAGCAGAGCTGGGATTGGGACTAGGAATTTAGGGGTGTGGCATGCTGTCTGGAGCCACAGTTAATCCCTCAAGGCCACCACATGGAAGTGGGGATATTGCCCTACAGGGGCCCTTTGCAACACAGGAGGTCCCATTCTCTTTAGCAGCTTCCTGTGGCCCAGCAAACCTGAGGAGCAGTTCAAAGCACTCTCCAGTCAAGCCTCTCCCTCCAGCCCATTGCTAAAGGTCAGGTATAAGGGTACAGGCCCCTGGAACTACCTTTTAGGTGACCCCAAGTCCCAGACTGCCTGGGCATTGGTGAAGCCTCCCCAAGGGGGTGCAATCTATGAACTATGCCTTGTAGTTGGTAGTGTTTTAAATTACATTAAGCATTTTCTTTGCCTTTGTTTTCTGTAATAAATTTGTTCTCTGTGTTTACACTGCTTGTGATTGAAGGGTTTTTGTTTAAGTAGGGCACCCTAGTAATTTATTTAGTGTTTCCCAGGTGGTCTGAGTGGGGGATTGAGCCAAGGTTAAATTTATTTAGACCCCAAAATGGAACCTGGCCCTTGTTGCTGCTAACCAGTGCCTGGAAGAAATGTTACAGTAAATTCCTAATTCTGTTAGCTCCAAATCAAGTTCCCCCTTACAGCAATTCAATTTCGGGCCAATAAGGCCCTGCATTTTTAACTTAGCTACCTACTATGTTGGTGAGCAAATGATGCTGGAAGCCATCTCACTCTCACATGCCAATTGCAGATGTGTAGTACTGCCGTATATTACTGTGTACAATACAGCCTGGAATAAGATAGACATATCTTCTTTTTTTTTTTTTAAAGCATAACAAAGAAAAAAAAGATTTGCTCTTGTAGCAAGTAACTAATAGCAGTGGCTAGGGAGCTGTGTCCCTTTTATCTGCTCCTTGTAGATTTCCCACACAGACATTACTTTCACTTTCACTCAGTAAGTGGCAGAAGCTCCTCTTACCATATTTTCTCTCATAATACACACCCTAACTTCCAGAACCTTTTCTTGGTAAAAAGTTGAGTAAGGTATGTAAGAATATATAACAGCAGTAAAAGATAGCCCAAACATATCTACCACTAACATCCGAGGCCCTAAAAACTATGAAACAGATGTGATTAAATACACAGGGAGCTACTCTGCGTAAGATGGATATATTATTTTACACCATTATTTTTCAGAAAAGAATGTCCTACTTTAAAAAGCACTTCAATAAAAGGATCTTCCTCAGGTTTTATGATTCTACCTGTGGAGCAAAGCAGTCAAATAGTATTTCATGACAATTCCCACACACACAGATGATGTATACCAGCTACTTCATTCTTTTTTCTTTTCTTTTTATTTAATTTTCCCTTTGTTTGTATTAGTTTCACTTAGGGAAGCATGGCATACATTTTAACAGATCCTTGCTTTGCGCATAATTGCTTGACCATCATAGCTACAACATCAATTTAACAATACTACTAAAAAAACTGCAAACAAATGAACAAAAAACCAAATGTTCGTCAAACTCTACCAAAACAAGACACTCTGCTGCGTAAGTTTCTCCCCCTGGAGAAAGACTGGTTGTTCTGTTATCCTAAGACAGCTGCTAGTCACATTGCTTAATACACTTGAGGAAGTTGAGCAGTAGAATAGAACAGGAAAATGCATTTGATTTGGAGTGTGGAACTTTAAATGCTAGACGAGAAGGAAGAACTCTAGATTTTAATTCTGTAAACTAAGCATTCAAAAAAATCACGAGATTTACAAAAATTGTGGGGGTTATATTTTTTTTGTTTTTTGAGGTTTTGGGTTCTTTCAGACAGTTATTTTTTCCAGCTACTTAATGCAAAAATTTCAGTTTATATTTAATCACATGACTTCAGGAGGTTGGGCTTTAACAAAAGAGCAAATACTGCATGGCTTCTAATAAAA